CCTACCACCTGCTCAATCTCCTGATCTACTCGTCTACTCTAATCTTGCGCAGACAGAAGGAGAAAAACTAAAACAAGATTTCACAGTGGCGCCCTCCTCTCTCTTCTTCTTGCTGGATCTGCAACCTCTCCTCCTCCACACGAAAAAGCCTACCGTCGAATGAGCTCCCTCATGCTGTGGAGGTCGACACCCCTGCTGTATCATCGATGGCGCTCACAGACCACGTCCACCGCTCCCGTGTATCATCAATACCCTTCGAAGGCCTCGTCCACCTCTATCCAATCCCAGAGGCGTACAAGAGCAGGACTGAAGAGATGATGGCGAAAGAGGAACAATTGAAGAGCAGAGTTTCTTCCCTTCAACATCAAGTCCATGCTCTTGAGAATAGAGCGGAAGAGCAGGTCTAATTGCGAGAGATGGTCAAGCAAGAACTCAGGTCATCAAGGCAGCCAAGGATGTCACCCTTGAGGAACTCAGTCACCGTGTTCTGGATCTGGATGATGTTTGTGCAAAGCAGAAAGAAGCAGTAAACGAGAACTTTACATTCCAAATCCTTAGTAGGACAATTGAAGACGAAATTAGAGCTTTAACGCAGTCTATGGCATCGTGAGTATGAGTTGAAGATAGAGTTGGATAAATCAACAAAGGAGATCGAAAGGTTGTCTCGAGTCGCGCATTGCTTGCTAAATAAGATCCGTGAGCTAGGAGACGAGTCCAAGTTGATGAATGGCCCATACGAGGTGCAACTTGGCCTGGAAGAGCGCAAAATTATGGAGCATGCCATCAACAAATTGACAAATCATTACAAATCATTGTCTGATAAGGAATTGGGAAGCTTCGACCGACAATCTGAGGTGGACCGATTGTGCTACTATCATTACAGTGCGTATGAACCCGCAGCCCAGAGTAGCTCCTAGTTGTAGGATCTCCAGCAGAGACCGCCACAGCTGAAACAAAGCTGTGCAGGGAGCATTCGAAAAGAGAAACTTGAGTTTCATGAAATTGTACAATAACTCCAGACTCTCCAAATTAAGCTCCAGAGTTGTAAACAGAACTTGGAAGCCGCCCAGGCTTACCTCAGTAAGTACAAAAGAATTGTAACAGACAATCCAGTCGATGTGTCCATAAAGGACAGCATTATGAAAGACATGACAAGAAAGTTGCTGGAGCAGAAGCCGATTCGGCTCATCAAATCACATTGACTGAACAAGCTTCTCTCGCACATGCTCGAACGCAACAGAATTTAGATTTTTAAAAATAAAAAAATAAAATGAGGTCCTAAAGAGACTGGAGGTGTCTGGCGCACAAGCGGAGAGCACTTTTAAAAACATGGAGCTTAACAAGGAAAAGCAACGACTGAGCCTAAGCTTGAAGAGTTAGATTCTCTTCGTGTGTCTATGAGCGATGAGAAGGTGCAATTCCAAAGTTCAATTGAAGAATCGAAAATTGTGGTAATGCTCCGCAAAGCCTGGCTTCGCAATTACATACCCGAGCAACCGGATCTGAGATTTGAAGTCATAGCATACAGGAGATGTGGAGGGCGACTTCCCTTCTAGAGTGGTGAAGAAAGGCACATTCAAATTTTGTAGGTACAAAGTAGAGTTTAGAAGCTACTGTGAGGGAAAGCTGTTCTTTTTTTTTTTTCTTTTTTTTTTTTTTGACAACTTGTGTGTTTTCATGGAGTTTAAGGATTGAAATTGGTTGTGACTAATAGAATTGAACTCTAATTTTTTTTAAGATTTTAAATTAAAATTAGCATAAAATTGTTTGATTTTTGTAATTCAATCTTTTGTTGTCGTGATTAGTATTCAAAGTTGGAGCATTAAGTTCTAAGAAGAAATTCTTTTAGATCAAAATATTTTAGATATAGAATTTGTTTAATATAAGGATAAATAAATTTAAGCTTAAGGATTTAAATAATTTAAAATTTAATATTTTAATTTTGTTTCAAATTAAAGGATTTTAAATTTTAAATTTAATCTCAAATTTGAATAAAAAGAAAGTTGATTTGAAACTTAAAATTTAATTATGTTTGAGATTTTGTTAAGATTTATGATGGCTTGGAACTTAGAATTTTTTACGATTTAAAAATATAGAATTTGGATTAAAAAGAACAAACAACAAAAATATTTTAATTATCTAGATATAAAACTTATTTATAGATAAAATTTCACAAAATAGACTTCATAAAATAAAATTATTTTTATTTTTATTTTTTAATATCATATTTAAATATCTAAGATATTACATATTTTTAATATAATTATTACAAGATCTTTTTATTTTATATTATTTATATTTTCTAATATCTAATATTATATATATGTATATAAGATACATAATTACTTTATAAAATATACCATACACTCTTATATGACTAAAATATGATATTTAGTCATATAATACTAAAATTAGTATAATTTTTATACTAAATTTAGTATAATAAACAAGAAAAGAAGATAATGAAATTAAGCAAATAAAATACATAAAAATAAAACTTAAATTTTTTAAATTAATAAGATAAAAACATATTATAAGTAATTAAAAAATTATAGTTTAGTTCTCATTAGATGGTATTTTGTATTTAAATTGCATCACAAATAACAAAAAGTAATATTAATATTAATAATAATATCTTCATTAGATTATTAAGGTTTGTGAAGCTTTTCAGGACTTATAGTTGGTTTAATTTATTTTAAGTTTTTACAAAAAAAAAACATACATGTATACATATAATATATAAAGTATAAAAGATAAATAAATAAGAAAATATAATCTAATAAAATGTACTATATTCAAATCAAAGTTAAGGTTAGAAAATAACATATTATATATATATATATATATATATATATATATATACATTAAAAAATCAATATTATATTTTTAAAGCAATAATATTATTTTATAAAGTATAATATGCATCTAAGAGGAATATGTATATATATATATATATATATATATGTTGGGAAATACTAATGCAATATCTTCATATTATTAAAGCTACACTTCAAAAGGTATTATGGTTGCATGCATCACAATTTATTTTAAAATTGCACTTTGCAATTTCTTTTAGGATATTTTGGAGAAGATCATCCAATGTTGTGTATTTGCATTTAGGTAGAAGAAGCATTAGGAGTGAGGATTTAGTATACATGCAGATATAAAAAGCAGCAAAGGCAAGCTGAAGTAGACATAATTCAAAAGCGACAAGAGATAGTTAGATTAGATACAAGTAGAGAGTAGGAAGAGAGAGCTAGAGTAGATATAAGTGGAGAGCAACAAGAGAGATGAGCGAGAGAAGAGTGGCAAAGGAGAGCACTAAGAGAGCAAAAGTTGAGAGAAAAGTCAGAGTTTATTCATGTGGGATATGGCTTTAATAGAATAAGGGTGTTGCTTTAGCAACTCTCTATTTATTCATATATATAAATATATATAATATCAATATAATAGATATTTATATTTCAAATTTGATTTTTCCATGTATACAATACAATATTTTTAGTATAATATGATACTATTTTATAGCATTCAAAGTATGACATGACATTTGACTTAGAGTTTTTTAATATATATATATATATATATATATATATTAGGTACTAATTTTATTATTAGATTTTCTAATATTAAAAAAATAAATTAATATTAGATTAATATTGGATTTAAAACTATTAATCTAATATTAAATATCGAATATAATATTAGATTAGATTAGATTAAAAAATAATCAATTAAAATTTATGTCAAATATTATTTTGATATAAGATATTATATAAGTATATTTTGTTTTAATCTATTTTATAAATCATAAAACATTTTCTACAAGCATTATGTATTTAAATAGTTTCATAATGAAAATAAATGTAGGCATCAAAACCACTACTAAAATGGGTATTTTTATTATATAATACCACAATTGAAACATCATCAAATCAAATTAAATCCTTATATAAAGCACCAAGTTTTGCATCCACATTCTTCGTAAAAATCTAAAATTTGAAGAACAGTTCTACATCTTAGTTAATATTGCATTCCTTCATAATACTCTTTGTGGGGTTTGATAGGCCTTCCTGTTGCAAACCACTATTTCTTGCATAATACGATTTTTTTTGTGAAAGACCACCCACCCCCAAGCTATTGGGGTCCTATAACAATTTATTGTAATATTATAATAAAGAATAGTATACAATTTATTTTATTCATAAATGTTTAAAAACTTTGTATACAAAAAGTATACAAAACATATTTATCATTTCCAAAGAAATTTTTTAAAATTTATATATTTACTTATATTTATTTGCAAATAATTTTTTATAAAATATAATTTTGAATTAGAAATTTTTGTACATTTATTCTTGTAAGACAATATTCTTGTAAATTTATAAAGGTGCTTCTAGCATAATTAGAGTTCTAAAAATAAATCAATGTTTAAAATTCTATTTTATGTCAATATTTAATAAATTAATCATTTGAAAAAATAAATTATATTAACATTGTAAATTGTAAAAACTAAAATTCTTAAAAAGACTAATATTAATTCCATTATCACATTAATAATTAATGCACTTATCTTGGAACTAGGGTTTAAGAATTAGGATTACAAGGGTATCCCCAAGTTTGAAGCAAGAGTGATAGTTGAAAAGTGGGATTGATAGGCAGTCTCTGAACAAAATTTACCACCCATGTCGATGTGGATCAATCTCCAAACCTCCAAACTGCCCGGCCTCCAACCTGCCTGCCCGCCCCTGGTTCCCAATTGCGGAGCCAGTCGATTGAATAGTAAGGTTTCTGCGACACAATTCTACGAGGCTCCCTAGACCCGGCGGGTGTGCCCGCATCCCAGCGTACTGCCCGAGGTCATCAAAAGTGACGAATATCGTTCCGAATCCACTAGTCATCCAGTGGGGTCCAGGCTGTGCGACCCCGCCCCCTTGCTCACCGAACATGCTCCGATCCCACCCAAATATTCCATTTCAACATCGCTGACACTAATTTAAGGCAGAATCTCTGCTGTTAGAGGGCACCCCGAGATTGCGCGGTAGCTGCAAGGCCCGAATGCACCTGAAATGATGCATGAATCTCGTACCGCTTCTTACTCAGCTCTGTGAAGATTTAACTGCGCCCGCGATTCTCCCTCAGAAGGGCTTTCCTCGCGCCACCACCCTCTCTCACGTCTCGTGGAGGCCTTCTCGTTGCAATTTGAGGTTCGCAGTCTCCTCCTGTTGTTGGTCGCTATGAATTTTCTGCCTGTGGCTGTGATGTGAGGAAATGGAATGCGTCCTTGCGAGTGTGTTGTTGTCAGAGCGTATATTCTCGATGCTCGCCACGCCCTCTCTCTGCCGAAGTGGGAGTGACTGGGATTGGGCGTTGGCGAGCTACTTTGCAACTGCAGCGGAATGGTGGACATGAACGAAGAAGATCTTGATTGATTCTGCGTCTTGAAGACAGATAGTTTATTTTTTATTCAAATTGTAAACGACCCGAATTTTTTGTAGTCGGAGTGAGTTCTCGGTATGAATAGGGAGATTGAGGGGCAGAGACCCTCAATTTGGGTTTCGGAATTTGCTTAGGTAGGTGGTAAGTTTTTGTTGGTTGGTGAGAAAGTTGCGCGCAGTCTTAGGGTTTTCTTGGTTTTCCAGGCACAGGCGGAAAAATGGCAACGCGTCACGAGACAACGAGCAGTCGGTTGTCGAATCCAGAGTGGGATGCGGAAAAGAGGCCTAAAATGGGGGAAGACGGACTTCCTTGGACAGCGCTAGATGGGGAAGACTCAAAGAGGCCTGCAACGGGGAATGTCGAAGTTACTTGCAAAGTACAAGATGAGGAGCACTTGGGCAATGTCACGCTGGAGAGCGGGCGCGAAGGACTGCGCTGTCGGTTTGCGTGGAACGCCAGTGTGGCGGACTTCCCAGCTCAACCCCAGAACAAGGGTGTCAATTGCCACTGCTCCTCTGAGGTTTGTCCGGCTTCGTCTTCGTGACTGCACTCTTGTTGTGATACTGACACAAAACCCATATCCCCGGGTTGTGGCTTGGTTTTAGTTATTTATTTGTTTATTTATTTTATGTACAAGAATCTACTCAATACCTGGAACTTTCTCAAGCAATGGCTGAGGTCAATTTGTGTAGGATGTGAAAACGTTGGTTCTGGATCAAATTTGGTATGCCCTACAGCTCGCATCGACTGCATTTAACATTCTTGGCATGGGAATTTAACTTATGCGTTTCTGGTGCATATTTGCAGGCTATGAAGAATGCAACCAAAGTGTCTGTGGTTCTACCCACCGGAGAGGAACTCATTTGTGATTCTGTTCTACCTTCCAAGCCTGGAGCTGACGTCCCAAGTAAGCCTCTTTGCCATTTCGGACTATTGCCATGGAAGTATGACATTGATACGCCTCTAGGCTATCTCTATTCAACAACATCCACCAGCACAACTTGATAAGTGCACCGTGTCAATTTTGTCGATCTGCAGATGTAGGGAGTGTGTACAAGAGGTTGTCTTTCGTAGACCGGTACTTGTTCGTGTGGATCCTCGCCGTTATGGCAATCGCCCTCGTGGTGGGTTACAAGAGGCGAGAGGTGGCAAGGAAGCTCCAAGTCGCTGAAATCGCGTCTGTTTCACTTCCTATCGCCATTGGCCTCTGGATTATGATGTTTCCCGTCCTCTGCAAAGTCAAGTACGAAATTCTGCCCGGCATGCTTCGAAAGGGGCAACTCACTCGCACCCTCGTCGTCAGCCTGATCTTCAACTGGCTTATAGGACCCGCCTTGATGACCGCACTTGCTTGGGCCACGCTCCCCGACCTCCCAGACTACCGAACAGGAGTCATCCTTATTGGTATTGCCCGATGTATTGCCATGGTCCTGATCTGGAACGACCTCGCAAGGGGTCACTCCGAGCTCTGTGCTGTTCTCGTTGCCGTTAACTCCACTCTTCAAATTCTGCTCTACCTCCCGCTCGCCCTTTTCTACATCAAGGTTTTGGGTGGTTCGAGCGTCAACGTAAGCGTTTGGGACGTGGCCAAGAGCGTGCTCCTGTTTCTCGGTGTTCCTCTTGTAGCTGGCATCGTCGTGCGCTACGCCATATTCCTAATTGCAGGCAAGACGTGGTTCGAGAAGCGGTTCGTACCCGTCATCAGCCCTCTAGCGCTCATTGGCCTCCTCTTCACCATTTTCGTCATGTTCGTCAGTCAAGCGCACTCCATCATTGACAACATCGGAAATGTCTTCCGCGTGGCTGTGCCTCTCCTCCTCTACTTCATGATTGTCTTTTTCTCCTGCGTGTTCATCTGCCGGGGCATCAAGATGACTTATGAGGAAGTTGTGACCCAATCTTTTACTGCTGCCAGTAACAACTTCGAGCTCGCCATTGCTGTGGCGGTGGGCAGCTTCGGCATCGACTCTGCGGAAGCGTTGGCAGCTACTATTGGTCCTCTCATTGAAGTGCCTGCACTCATTGCTCTCGTCTACGTTTCTCTCTTTTTTAGGAAGAAATTCTTCTAGGGGTGCTTGTGGTCTCGTCCCTTACACCTCTCCAGGCTTGATCTGGAGTTTTAATAGGAAAGATTGGACCTAATGAGGAGAATTTTTAGTGAGACGTTGATACCTCAGTAATACAGTGGAATAGCTTTTTCTTTTTTTTTTCTTTTTTTTTTCTTTTCTTTTTCCGTTCGTTTTTCCCATGGCAGGTGCTTATTTTCGCGCAGGTTATCCGAGTTTGCGGTGACAGTGACCATGTGTTTTAGGTGACAAAGCAATTCAGCTTATTGAGCTCTTCAGAGATTCATCTATTGCTCAGTTACTGCTGGTTTCGTCGGAAATGCTATAGCTGCAGGAGTCATAGCTCCAGTGTTAATATCCGCAAAATTGGTGGATATCTTATGGATCGTCCTAGTTCTGTTCTCAATGTTCTGTATTGTCAAGATTTATTGTTATGATATTGATTTCGTTAGCTGCAATATTTATGGCGTTTTAACAGCTTGGTAAGATCCTCTTGCTTTGAAACGAGGTAAACTAAGCGCTTCTTAAGATGCAAAATCCTCTGCTGTGATTATATCTGCATAGAACAACTGTGACAGCAGTGGCTCAACGCTCTTGCATACTCCGATCGATGCTTATTGTTTGTGATGTTGCTGTTTACCTTCATCATGCTGCGTTGAAACCATCAATATGCGTTTGTTATTATCTTTCAAACATGGGTCAGTATCCGTACCAGCAACAATTTCCACTTTCTGAATGAGGTATAAAAAGACAATTTTCGTTTAAGCTTGAAAACTTACTATTTATTTTTCTATAATTAATATCCTTTTAAACGCGAGTTTCATTTGGTATTCACGTTTTACACGTCTGGTATGGCGTCATCAATGGTGAATGCACATGCTTATACATGTGCTTTATTCATTTTCATACATGAACAAAGAAAACAAATATAAATAGCACAATTCACTAACGAGATTCATACGGTAAAACTGAAAGAGTTTACTGTTGTTTCAAGCTAATCCTCAACCTGAACAGTGGTTTGCAATTAGAGAAAACATTTTGGAACAAAAATAAACAGGCTTTACTCCCAAACAGTGCACATGAAGCGAACTTCGCCGAAGTGGCCCCACTGGACAAATGGATGGATGAATAGATACATGATCATAGACCTTCAGCGCTTTTCGGTTCTTCGACTGAACCTAAAGCCGCTTAAACCCTAAAGTTCCCGAGGCAGCGGACACTGAACCCAGGAGGTTGATGGCGGGATTGTTTGCGAATGCTGGTGTGCGGTGCTGTGTGGGAGGTCGATTGCGGTGCTTGTTGCGTGAATTCCCGGAATAATTTTGGAGAACGAGATGGCGAGCGTAGGCAGGGCCTTGGGCAGGTCCTTTCTGTCCACCACTAGGTCTGCACTGCGAGCTTGCAAGGCGAGTGGCAGCGAAGCGGTTGGAGGCACTGTGAAGGGCAAAAGCCCCTGCGCTCCCTCGTACGTACCGTCGCCGTCCTCGAGCTCCCTACCTCCGATGCGGCGCCCGGTGTCCTACTTTACCCGGTGCGCCTGGATTCTGCCATTGCTGTGGAACTGCTCCTCATCACTGAAGTTTCGTTTTGAAAGCTCACAGTCACCGCTTTGATTCACCGAATTGTATCGGTTGTGTGCGTAGGTTGCCAGGGGAGGTGGCAGCCATTCAATCGTTGCTTCCATTTCACAGCGCCACTGCGTCATCTCGCTTGGTTGCGCAACTGAGCTCCACGGCTGGTGCTCTCTTTCAGGGTATGTCTCCTGCTCCATAGTGTTTCCTTGTTTCAACTCTCTCCACCTACTCAGCCGCAGGCAGAGAGAAAATTACTCTGCAGATTTGGAGCGTGAATTTAAGTATAATCACACTCAATTGCAGTAATGCAATTTCCTATTTTTAAGTGTGGAGAGTGCTTGCATGTTTTTGGTGATTTTTTGGCGCCACGCACTTTTATATGAGTTGGTAGTTGTGTTAATTTTGGAAAGTGAGTTTCGTGCGAATGTGCCCCGGCATCAACCTGAAATGAGGTTTCTTGAAGAGATTAGTTTCGGATGGTTAGTTGGAGTCAAGTGACAGGTCATGCCAACACACTGTCGCTTGGAAAGTATGTGAACACTTTGTCGTTCCAGTGAAACGTTTTTCAGTTTATGTGTGTTTTTGCTACCTTAACTTCACTGTTGTGTGTATCAGTGATTCACCTTTCCCTACGCTCTGGTTTGTAGTTGCTTTTTTGCGTTTTTTGTCTTTTCTCTTCTTCCCTTTCCCCTTTCTTTATTTTTACTTCCTATTCACAACTCCCCCTTCTTCTTCTTCGTCTTCTTCGTCTTCTTCTTCTGTTGATTAGTCACCGATTTGTGTCTCTTTATGGATTTATTCCTACGATTGTGGATCGATCTTTCTAGCTCTAACGTGTCTCACTCCTCTTGTAGTAGTCGAATTTAGTTATCGTAACATTCATATTACAATGGTCAAACCTTAGTGCGAGGAACCGAAGAGCACTGTACTCCGGGTTTTGGCTCTTAGTGTGCCATATTAGTTATTTATTTATTTGTTGATTCATTTTATTGCAATTGGTTCTCTGTTGGGCGATCCCAGTGCTTAATTTTTGCCAATCTTTTGAAAGTATACTCAAGGGACCTCCAAACATGTCGACCTCTTTTAGATCATCATCTGCTTTTAGCTCCCTTTAGTCCGCTCTGTGCTTCACTTTTTCGTAAATGATTGGGATGACACGAGAGAAACAATTAAATCCGCACATTGATGCAGACTTCTTACACGTCTGTGAGAGTTGTTTGCATCTTTTCATTTATTTCCCGTGAGTTCTTGGGCCCATTAATTAAAAAATGACCGAACTTGTATGAACTTTAGTGATTTTTTTCTGTTCATGGGAGTTCTTGCTCGGTTTGCCGGTTTACTAGGTTCCCTCCTCAACGCGTTCCACATGCAACTGGGAATGCTTGGGTGTAATTGTTAAGAGATGTTAATTGTAAACAATGCAGAACCTCTCGATATAGGGTCTTTCCATGTTATTTGCCATATGTCTTCTCAAAATTTCCTCTAATTCATTTTTGATGCTTGTATTGCCCATGCTTATCATTTCTCACATTTTAACTTGCTATGAACTCCTCCATACTCTTCTGTACTAGTATTGAGGCGTAGGATTTATCATGTTGTATGGTAGTGTTGTGGAGGGCTACAGCTTTATTTGAAGGTATTTCTAGAGAAATGAAGCTATTGTTCTTGCTTCTGTCAGGAGGAGTGTGGCTTATTGACGATAATTGAGGGGCATGACGACTACTTGACATTCAGGTTGTTGTTTGTGGAGCTTACCTCTGCGCGTTTTCTTTTTTATTAGTTCCTGACGGGTGGGCCAAAATTGGTTTTAGAGATATCACGTAGTTACTGAAACCATAGTAGAGTAGTGATGCCACTTTGTTCGTTCTGGTCAGCAAGCTTAGGGACTACAAGGCGCATTTCTGCTGTTACTTGTTACAAATCACTGCTTTGAATTTTTTGATTCTATCGTTTTATCTCTCCAATCTCTGCTCTAAAATCATTTTATGAGGTTTCATTACTGTGAGCTTTAAGTAATTTTAGTAGGGTTCATCTTAGGTTTCACTTCTATGTTTTTCTTTCTTCCCTGATTTTTTTCTTCGTTTGTCTTTTTAATTTTTATCTATAAAAATACTTTAAAATATAAATGGGGTTTGTAGTTGAGAAGTGAAAGTGGTGTTCTTGCTTCTGTCAGGAGGGCTGTGGATAATTGACGATAGTTGAGTATCTTACGACAGCTTTGAACATTCGAGAACAGTCTGAGAGGGACTGAAGGAGATTGTTGACGTGCAGCTCATTTGGGATCTCTGAAACCAAGGTGAAGGATTTGCTGAGAGTCTTGACGTCTGCGAGTGTATCGCATCCCCCTTACAGGTGCTACATACCGTTTGGTTGAAGATGCGTATATTGGAATTTATGTTTGTTAGGTGGACACTTATTTCAGAAGCTTTGCAGAGTAGTTACCTTTTACCAGGCTTTAGGGTAAGAGTTATCATAACCTTATTGTCACTTGACCTCCATCATTTATATTTTAATTTCGGAAATCTGTCCAGAAGATACAATTTTTAGCTCCATCTGAAGCAAATGTTTGGGGATTGAGCAGCAGTTTGGATGGAGGTTCATGTCTGAAGGTCCTTTACCATTTAAGTTCAGCTCATTGCTCTACTGTTCAGTAATTCATGTCTCTAGCTGACCAGTTGAAGAGGCCCCACTGTAAATATGGTCATGTTAATGCACTTCGATGATGCGTTTGTTTGAGCAAGTTCCGAGGCCTTGGTTACTGAAAGTGAGAGGTATTGCAGGGTAAAAAGTGGTCTGATACATATATCTAATTTTTGCTCCAGCATTCGTAAGTAAACTATATTTGAGATTAAAATCCTCTTCATGTTTTCATTAAGATGTATATGATCACCTATCTAAAGGCTTGCATATGCTTATATCTTAACTTACACATTGGCGTAGCTTACAAATTGATCTTCTGAAGGGGATAAATAAAATATAAAGAGATATGTCAACCAAATCAAAGCTTATAATTAGCTAATGAAAAGCATGACAATCCAGATGCTGTAGAATATTTAGTTTTAAAACAAACATTAGCATGTATGCTAAGATTTTGACCTCAGGTGTATTTCTGTAATGTTGTCAGAAATGTTCTGAGTGAAATTATGGCTTTTAATGGAAAGCACCTTGAAATGATGTTTCCACCTTGGGCATGAGTTGAAACAAGAATATCATTTAATACATCTAGGTGTGGAGGTTTTAGTGAGGTAGGTTTATCATATGACGTACCCTTGAAACTAATTCTATCCAACACATACCGCACAATCTCCAAGTGCCAATTGTTTGTACCATGTTAAACAAATAAAAAAATGTAGATATTACTTTAAATTAGTAATAAAACCGCATGGGTCCTTCCTTTAACCACCAAAACGATTATAATCGCATTAATGGTTTTATTACATGATTTACTAAGTAAAACATGCTGTTAAACTACACACAAAATTAGCCTTATTTTTCTCCTGAAAATTTGCTTTGTCTGCTTCATCCAAAGCACCTTGCGACCCTCTTTTTCTGTTATTATTATCGTTCAAACCTGATAAATAAATTTAAAATGTAGAAAAAGAAAGAAATAACTTATTATATAGTTGTATAGATAACAGAAACAAAAGTTAACATTAGCTTCAATAAATGTGGATCAAGACTTATTCGCCAAAACTCATGTTCAATTGCATTGAGTAATTTTATTTATTTTATCTATTTTTGTTATTATTGTCATTTTTTTTTTTTGTACCAAATAGTCTGTAGTTAGCACTCGATGTAGTGAGACTTAAAACTTCAGAAATAGAGAGACATTATTTTAACTCTTTGATACTACTGTGATGAGAGCTTAAGTATTCACATCTTTCCTAATTTAATCTTCCGAGCCCCGTAACCATTGTCAAAAATTCGAAGGAAGTCCCCTTTCCCACCGCACGCAACGAGAAATCCTCACAACCACCTTATGAGTTGAGACTTCGATTCATCACCTCGAACTAATGGATGTATTCTGTTCGAGAATACGCTCGGCTGCTGCATCCACTAAACCCTAATGCTAGCCCCGAGGCTTTGTTCCTCTTCGCAGTTTCCTGTGCGCCATGCACTGAGGGGAGTGTGGGGTTTAGCAAGCAAGAGTGTCCTCGGTGCCGCCAATTGGTGGTGGGATCGGCAGTAGCAAGCATGGCGATGGCAGAAGCAGTAGCGAGAGCCGGCAAGGAGTCGTTCCGGACGGGCGTCATAGCGGTGAAATGCGGAATGACGGCGATATGGGACAAGTGGGGCGCTCGGGTGCCCATGACGGTGTTGTGGGTGAACGACAATCATGTGGTGCAGGTCAAGACGGAGGAGACAGACGGTCATTTCGCTCTGCAGGTGCGTCTCTCATGCTTCACCCTTCAAGTTTTCAAGAGAATGGGAGAACGTATAGTGACGTGTTTTTTTTTTTTTTTTTTTTTTTTTTTTGGTATGTGGAAGTGGACACTCCGTGTTTCTGAATTATGAGCGCGATTTTTGTGCATCTCCAGATCGGTGCAGGGCAGAGAAAGCCAAAGCAACTAACAAAGCCTGAGTTAGGGCACTTCAGGGCAGCAGGAGTCCCGTTGAAGCAACATCTGGCTGAGTTTCCTGTGACTGAGGATGCACTTTTGCCATTGGGCACCGAGCTTTCAGTGCGTCACTTTAGGCCTGGCCAGTACGTTGACATCGCCGGGATCACCACTGGCAAAGGGTTTCAGGTTGGGACGAACTCTATTGCTCTTGCAATTCATGTGTACAAATTCGAAGGTGGTGGATGACTAGTTTCCAGAGGAAAATAGTTGTAGTGATTTTATAGGTGCTTGTGTTTTGTAACAGGGAGGAATGAAACGGTGGGGTTTTGCTGGTATGCCCGCATCTCATGGTGCTTCACTCTCACATCGAAGTTTAGGGTCCACTGGTGGACGTCAGGATCCTGGCAAGGTAAGTCACCGTTCTGGTCATCTTTCCTTGAGTCAATTGTGTGCTTTCAAGTTGTAACTCTGGATGCATTGTTCATTTCCATCAACTAGAATCTAGTGTGAGTGAAAGTGTATCAATTAAATGGAAGTGGAGCGTATTGATGCTAGATTTAATGGATGGTTTTCAGTACAGGTCTTTAAGGGCAAGAAGATGGCAGGGCATATGGGTGCGGTGAGGAGAACAGTGAAGAATGTATGGATTTACAAGATTGAACCCGAAAGAGATCTTATCTGGGTTCGGGGCCAGGTATTCTAGATGTTTTTTCCTGAAAAGTGCATGTCCTTTCTAATGCATTTGCTGAAATGTTTGAATCTCAACATAGAATAGGTGAAATTTGCGTCTTGCATCATTCTGACCTAAAGTCTTTTGTTTGATGTCAATAGGTGCCTGGGCACAAGGGAAACTTTGTTTACATCAGAGACGCTTTCTATAAGAAGCCAGACTTTTCAGTTGTTCCTTTTCCCACGTATGCGCCAGATGAAGATGACGACCTCTCCGCATTGGTTGCTGATTTTGGTGAAGTTGATCCATTCTTAGAAGAGTAGAACCTTGGAGATCTTTGAAAGTTTCTTTAGCAGATCTGGTAGAGCTAATCTTTGTTACTGAGCATTTCGGTCTCTCCTTAACTTCATCATTTAGGATGCATAGCCATGTGGTGAAGGTCTTACACTGGCGTAAGTTCCTGTTGAGACGGATTCTTCTTACTTCCACATGTGCATAATGAGAATGGCCCAAGAAGTAATTAGTTTCGTTAGGCAGCATTCTGACTCTGCCATGCGGCGCTGAAGAGGAGTGAGAACGTGAGTCTTAAGGATTGTAGACTTACAGTTAAGCTTAAAATCAATTTCTCTTGTGGTGCGACTGTAACTAGCAACCTGAAGACAAGGGGTGGAGCATGGCACACGAAGTGTATATTCAGTCGGTGAAAATGACAAGCCCTTGTTCTGGTACTCGAGTTGCTAGCAAAATAATAGTTGCAGTAGTATTCAATGGAGCTGGAAGGTGGCCACAATGTTATTGTTCTGTGTGCATCGTTATTAGTTTAGGACGTTCTACATGGTGCACCTTGGTCTATTTTTAGCAGCATCATCACGCTCATGAGCAAAGTTACTCATTTGTTCCATTTCCATAATCAAAGAAGTTGCAATGGACCTGGGATTTTGTTCCTTGTATTTGACTCGGTTTGCTTGTCATAAAGTTAATCTATAATTAATTACGACGAATTCCTCTACAACGTATGCAAGACTCTTCTCGCTATGGTGGCTAAATTAAAAGGTTTTGTATGTTATTCTCACCACACAGGTGTATTCTAGAATATCCTCTCAGTTATATACCATGTAAGTATGTTACTCTTCTTTCAATTTTTAGGAATATTTACCAGCCTTTCATTCAGATTCTGGTAATCTAGAGCTTCGAAACCCTCAAATTCCAACACCTCCTATTTGAATAGTCGCTATCAGCAACCTTATAATTCACGGATTCGTTTGGATTTCGAGGCATTACCAACCATTTCATTTCTCCAAGAGAGATCTCATCTCAGGATGCAGAATTGAGGAACACAGAAGGCGCTTCATCTGAAAGTGTCTTGGTCGGAAGTTCCGTGAAGCGAACTTTGAGAGTGAGTTTCGGTTTGCACCAAATTGCACACTCGATCCTAGCAGAGCCCAGAGAAAAGATCCACAGCAGTCGCATGAAATGGCGGCTACTCGCCTCGCCCTACACCTCATTCATCTCGTCCCACACCAGCAATGCCATGCTTCTGTTACTGCGGAGGCGGGTGGTAATGTCCATGATGCCGCCTCATAACTCAACTGCGTTCTGGCGAAGGGCGGCTACATTCCCGCTAGGCATTAGTGAATGTACGAATGAACTCAGAATATGGGTTCTCTTGTGCTACTCTGATTACGTGGATTTCCTTCTGAAGTTCTTTTTATGTAGGTTTCTAGATGGTCTGATTCTGACTTCACCATTCAGAGGTCCACAAGACAACATGGAACGTGTGGTAGTTTTTCCGAGGGATGCGTTCTGAGAATGAGAGTTCGATGATTTGCAACAAAGAATCCCAGAGCGCATGCGGAAGATGATCACTCCACCGCTATTCTAATGGAACAGCGTGAGAATAGGCCTATAACCCTGCTGAAGGTGATCCAAGCACCCTCACGTTGCCCAGAAGCCATAACCTTTTCCCGTAATAGACAAGTGTCAACATATTCAATATTAATTATATGACACGGTTAGAAACCTTGTCAGTGATAAGGTGGTTTCTGTTGCTTTTTCCTTATAACCAGAATTGAGGAGAACATTCGAATTTTTCCCACTTTGGAAGGAAGGCTTTGCACTTGAATCAATAAGTGGTTTATAACCTCGTATAACGCTAGCTAAGCTAAGGGAGGTGATCTGTCTTCGTTTATCTGAAACTTGAAATTATTAAGTTCCGCCTTAGAGAATTCATATACAGAAAACACTCAAGGGAGAAAATTCGGGGACGAACGAATAAGCTTCCATGTGTGACAAATTCTACCTGAAATCGTTTGTCATACCTTACATCAGCTCTGGCTCAAGCCGAGATGTTAGTTCAGCAGTATATTGGTGTGAAGAATAATGTAGGTGTGTATCGATAAATGAGAAAATCTCAGAACAATGATTCTGGTCGTTTCACTCGGACGTCAGTAGTCTTTGCAGATTCACAGTGAGATTGTAGCGAACGACAGAGAGATGTAGGGAGCTATTAACAACGTTTGGAAGCTACCGTCTGCAGATTTCAGTTCCGGGAGTGTAAGACAGGACTGAAAATCAGGTTAATCGTTCCGTGTTCTCAACATTCGGTCGGTATATTCAGTAATCTTTAACTGTCTACGATGTCATTTCCAAATAAGCTGTCTGTCCCTGAGACAGGATTGACTAGTTTGCATTTCTCAATGGAGTCAACATCAGGCACAACAAAGCAAAGCAAATACAGGTCTAAATTGCATTCAAGTATCAATTAGATCATCAAGCTTAACTTGACAGCACAAGTTCAGGTGCATGTTCACAACAATTTATAACAAGTCGGCATCATCAGATACTTCTCTTCGAGACGAAAGGGAGGTAAGGAATCGAGAGGAGGACAAATTCACTAGGACGGTAACACCACAACGTGATGATTCATTTATAATGCGCATATTGCAGCTCTGGAGTCACACGCTCTCCTTGACATGAACATCTGAAGCAAAACCCACCGCCTCCGAACTACAGAGGACCCCATCTGACCTAGGAACGTGTGCACCAGGCCTAGAACCTCAAATCTAGCGCCAGGTCTAAATATCAAAATCAGCTCAGCTTCATTCAATATGTGCAGCCACGCATCAAGGCACTCAGTGCAGTATTGTTTTCTATACTAGTGTCCACATGTATCCCCTACCTGCATCGCAGCCAGGAGAGTCGATTCCAAGGATGTCGAGGTTACAGAAGGAGACTAGGATGTTTTCTGACCGGTTACAATCAATCAGAAATAAAGAATCAATCGAGTAAGTAAGTGAATGGGAATCAGTGATGCGCTACAGTTCTAAATCTAGATGGATACCTGTAAATCCTTGACCCATGGGTCAAGGGGCTTGCCTATGGAGTAGACCACGAACCCAATCTTGCGCATCTCCTCAACGTTAAGAACATTGCGGCCGTCGAAAAGGAACGCGGGCTTCTGCATGTTGTCGTATAGTTTTTGGTAGTCGAGCTTCTTGAACTCATCCCATTCAGTGATGATACAAATGCCGTGGGCATCCTTGCATGCTTCATATGCATCCCACACTACGGAGACTTGCTTGAATGCGGTGGGGCTCTGGGGCTGCAAGTGCTGGGGATGGTCCCAGTCGAATTTGTTCATGGCCAAGTCGCGCTTGATTTGATCCTCAGTGACCTGGGGGTCATAGATGCTGAGCTGAGCCTTGTCACCAAGAAGGCCATGACAGACATCAATGGCGGGAGTTTCGCGGGTGTCACCAGTGTCCTTCTTGAAAGCAAACCCGAGGATGGCAATCTTCTTACCCGAGACCGTGTTGAACATGGAGGAGACAACACGCTTGACGAATCTCGTCTTCTGATAGTCGTTGATCGACACTACCTGCTTCCAGTAGTGGGCGACTTCTGGGAGGCCATTGCACTCGCAGATGTACACGAGGTTGAGGATATCCTTCTGGAAGCAAGACCCACCAAATCCAACGCTTGCGTTCAAGAACTTGGGGCCAATACGAGAGTCCTTGCCGACAGCGTAGGCAACCTCACTCACGTCAGCGCCTGTGGACTCGCACAAGGCGGACATGGCATTAATAGAAGAAATCCTCTGGGCCAAGAAGGCGTTGGCGGCGAGTTTGGAGAGTTCAGCGGACCACAGGTTAGTGGTGATAATGCGGTCCTCAGGCACCCAGTGAGCATACACTGCCTTTAAGGCCGCCACAGCCTTCTGCCCCTCGGGGGTCGTGCGCCCTCCGATCAGAACACGGTCGGGCTTCTCCAAATCTTCGATTGCGGTACCTTCAGCCAAAAACTCAGGGTTCGACAAGATCTGGAAATTAATCCCCTTGTTGTTGTGTGTTAGAATCTTCTCAATAGCCTCGGCAGTTTTCACCGGCACGGTCGACTTCTCAACCACGATCTTGTCACTCTTGGAAACGTCAGCAATCATACGCGCAGCGCTTTCCCAGTAGGTAAGATCCGCGGCCTTGCCGGCTCCCAATCCCCTGGTCTTCGTGGGTGTGTTCACAGACACGAACACAATGTCGGCCTCCGCAACGTGCTTCTCCACCTCGGTCGAGAAGAACAGGTTCTTTCCTCTGCACTTCTTCACCACCTCGTCTAACCCTGGCTCGTAAATCGGCAGTTCATCGCTGTTCCAGGCCGCAATCCTGGGCTTACTAATGTCCACCACCACGACCTCAATATCCGGACACTTCAAGGCAATCATGGCCATGGTTGGCCCACCGACATAGCCAGCACCAATGCAGCAAATCTTCACCATCTTGCCCGGCTATTCAAGACTAACACCAGCGGTGTAGAGATATATCTGAAGAGATATAGCTTCGCAGAGTAAGAACGAGGCAACGACGGTGAGAAAGCAACAATGCGTTAGTCCGGGATGGCTGCAACAGAGCGACAAACAGCCGAGCGACCAGGAGACCCTTCCGAGGCGAGGAGGGGGAGGAAGGAAACATAGAAGCAACAAGAGCTGGAGTCGGGGAAGAAAGGTATGGGCCGAGGAGACCTTGTAAGGCGGGTTACTTTTAAAGGCGATCTAACCTTTAAAGGCGACCCGCATCGGCGGTTGTAAATCTGGGATTGCACTGCTTTGGGTTTCGGGCCCACGTGGTTTTAGGGGGCCACTCGTGGGACCTTTGTGCCTCGGGAATCGCAATGGGGTCATGGGGTGCCTTCTCCATTGGTTCCCTGGAGCATTCGTGACAAGGCTGGGTCCCAAACGCGGATATAGGATCCCCTCTCCCACGCCGTTGTTTGTCCGACAGTCAGGTTCCGAGCTAGAACTGTCGACCTCAGAGTTCTAGTGAGAAGTCTCGTTAGTTCAAATCGTGAAAGAGACGTGCCCATCGTTGTTGAAGCCCCATGATGGTCGAGAACCGGGTCGAGGGGAGAGCGTTCCCGCGTTCCCACCATCCTACAAACGTGCCACGTTGGCCACTTAGGCTCTCTCCCCTGGCGTTCTGGCCCGCCACCTCAGCAGGGAGTAAATCGGTGATGGTATAGTAACCCTCGGAAAGGAGATCTGGCAGATTACGACCTGCAGGCTCGTGGGAATCTCGGGAAGGGTTCTCAAAGAAGGGGAACGAGAAGGGGAACCTAAAGGGGAACGCAGATCTGGAGCGTGTTCCTCTGTAGCGTGCGAGCAATGAGTGGCCGCTAAACGTGGTCACATGTAACAGTAGGCATGAGGCGGAATGGGGTCTCCAAAACTACTTTTACGTTTACCTTTACCTTTATATCAGAAGCCTTGAACAATAGTGCGCAGTGTGAATGGGGTCAATTTGCCAGGTTTTGGGAGCCAAACAGAACCAGAGATGCCACGTACCCACCTACAAAATCGCGGGTTGGGAGGAGGGGTGCAGCCCGTGATTGGCGTCCACCCGCTCTGCACCTCCACACAGGGAATCAAAATAGTTTGAGAGGAATTTCGAGGACTTGGTGCTACGGAGAAGGGAAAAAGGTTGCGATTATCTTTGGTCACGAAAAAGCTGATTCGGATTCTGAAAAAGTTTGAGATCTCTACATGTATGCCACCTGAAACCGAATTTGAACGAATTTATTACATGCATGGTACCTTCTACTTTACTACTCATGGCTTTGTCAATCAATCATTCACTATTAATTAATTAATACCATCATATTTATAGTTGTAAAATAAGCGTAAGTTGAATATTTGTCCTTAATTTTAACTATAGTATATTGATAACATTATTTTTCAATCTTCAAGTGGACCAATTGCTAGTTAACAACAGCTTTAACCATATTTACTGTTATGTTTTGACAAGTCAAGGTTTTGCTTTATATTGATTTTTTGTTTGAGATTTTAGTCCTGAGGTGGAAATTGAAAAGGTTGGCTTGTTCTAAAAGCAAAGTTATAGTCATTACGACGTATTATTGAGCTGAATATTATATTATTTTTTATAATTATAATATGAATTAATATTGGTTTGTTAATGCATCAAGAAAACATATTAATATTCTTTTTTAAAAATAATAAAAATTGAATCAAATTTTTATTTTTTAATATTTTATTTTATTTTCAAAGTAATTTTATATAGTTGATAGGAAATACATATGTTAGAGAGTGTTACAAAATATTTATAATTAAATATTATTTTAGTTGTAATAAATATTTTATTATTCTTAAAGCTTTATGTAGTTTCTATTTGTCCTACATTTATTTTGTATGTATTAATAAATGAGGTTATTATCATAAAATTATGTTGTATGATGGTACTATTATAATATATTTTTTTAATGGTACACTAGAAAATAATTTTGGTTCTTAAGGATGTTGATTTTTATAATGCTTAAAAACTATGCTTTTGCAGAGATCTCATTAAATATATATACATATATATTTACATACATACATATATACATAAATATATATATATACACCTAGAAATCCATTTCTAAATATTGTGATCTAAAAGATACATAAAGTGCCTTGTTTGGTTAAGAAGAGTTGTTCTTTTGAAGCACTTCTCTTTGGACTTAGTATAAAAGTGATAAGAGGACATAAAATGGACAAAATTATTTTTCTTCTATGATATCAAATCTTGCAGCTCATATCTTAATTCTATAAACATTGGTAAGTGTAAAATATTTGATGTTATTTATCTACTTTTTTGTAAACATTTAAAGTAATTTTTGATATAATCTCTCTAATTTCAACAAAACTATTTAAAAAAAAAACCCAACATAAATCCTAAGGAACAATACTATTCACACCATACAAGAAAAAAATACATTCCACCTCATTATTTCCTTTCATGACCCTTTTGTTGATTTTTCCAAATACAAAGCCAACCAAGAAATACTTCTGAATCTCAACCAATCACGAGCTTTAAAAGTCACAACCCATCACCTTCTCTCGTAAAAATTACCAAAGTTAGCTATCTAAGTTTTTTTTCCCAGAAACTAGTTGCAGTATAATTGGCCCCAGAATTATTTTTCAGTATTCTGGGGTCTCACGCTTTCAGATTGAGAGAGAGAATCGACATATTCATGGGAAACCTCATGCATACAGTTGACTGGCAGCCTGGGGAAGATTTACAGTTCTGTCTCATCATTGGCTGCAGTATAAAGTACCTTAATAGAGTTATACTCCAGCACTCAATTGTTCCATGATGTTTTTCAAGGATTCACCCACTGTTCCAGGTCTTCCTATCATTTCCAACAGCTGATCAAAGTACCAAAATCATTGCTTTCTTTAAAGAATATTTGACCTCCAGTTAACCGAGGTTGTAGAAGCAAAAAACATAACATTATCTGTATAATTCGTACGGTGACAATACACAAAAAGATAAGACTGTGGCAAGCATGGCTAAGTGATATTCTGAGGCTAATCCTCAGAGATGGAAAACAATACCACTGGAACAGTCATCTGATTGATTTGATGTCTCATCAGATGAGAAACAAACTGCATTATACCATGAAAGCTCATGCATGTAGTAGTGTGCCACGCCACTTCTGTGAAGGCTGTGAAGTCCTAGTGATAATGAGGTAGTAAAGCCAAAAGATAGCAAGAATGCGAGATTTGGTAGAGAGATTAACTCCAAGAATGCCTAGACCCGAGGCTGTCCAATACCAGCAAGTACAAACAAAGATATTTGTCATAGAAGTTTCCTACAGACCAAGTTCACCTTGCTTTTTACAATATCTGTTATCTATGAAGTATCACTTCAAAGAACAGAGATGGTCCAACATAACACAAAAACAAATCTTCTTCCAGCGACAATTAGGAAGCCCTACCTAAACTACTAGACTGTCATTGAATGAAATCAAGAGGAACTTGCTTCTACCTGGTAAGATTTAGATATCTCGTAAACGAACCCTTCGCGGGCCCTTCTTATCCTCGCTGGGAAGGAGCTGCAAACGCTTGGAGCGCAGTATATCATCCAATGAGTTGTGTTGCACATGAAGCAAGAACTTCTTGCCCATGCGTAAGATGTCAAGGGAGCTTGGATATTCTACAACGACTTCCCCCTTCCGATTCAAGATCCTGGGCCCTCGAGAAAACTGCCTGATAATTTTTCTAGCGGAACAGCCATGTTTGCTTCCAAGAGTGAACAGTGCAGACCACCGCACTTGGTGGTCTACTAGCCTACGCACCTTCTGGAAATTATCACAACATCGATAGTAGCTCAGAAGACAGGTCCCCAAAGCGGCAAAGTAAGAAACAATAGCCTCATCAGAAGAGCTTAACATGGAAGTGAGCACAGTCGGAAGCGCTTTACTAGGCTGCAAAATTCCCTTAATGCGCAGCTTCTCGGTGACGATTTCCATAGGTGCGAGTAGTTGCAGAGGTATCACGCCTTCATCTTGCTCCCTTGGAGCTCTAGGTTGCGCCCTCTCTATAGCTTTTGTCCTCTTTTCATATGCTGTTTCATCTTCAAGATATTTCTCCATAAGTCTCGTGAGACGCTTGTGAGCACGGAGTATTGGTTCAGGTAAACCAGTGCTCGGGGCATCAAAAAATACCTCCTCTTCTTTGTCCAGTATACGCTGAATTGCATCTCGCGTCTGTCCCCTGTCAATCTGATCAATAACAAAATTACTAGCCAATTCTTGTGATTTCTTGTGCATAGCCTGCTTAGCGATTTCCCACGACTGCAGCTTCTGCTTCGTTTTTTTCAAGCCAAATGCCCACGACTGTAGAGCTAGATCCTTCAATTCATTGTGCCAGGTATCAGTGCGCACTTCGGCCATTCTTTGAAAGCGGATCTTGCTTCGCCTGCGTTTCTCAATTTCTTTGGAAAAACGCCTTCGTGTTTTGTTATCTAAAAGCCCAGCTATCCGCGTCCCCAGGAACACCACGGAACCACTTTGAATGTGCACATGAGATGCAAGGCCAACTTCTAAGTGAAGCTCTGTCCTCAAAAAATTAGCTATTCGGGATTTGATGATTTCCACGTCCTCCCTTGAACCTCTCACTCCCAACAGGAACTCTGAACCATGACGCATGTAATGCAAGCCCACACGATCCTTCTCCATGGTTTTGTCTGATATTTTATTCTGTGAATCCACAACTACGTCGGGAGCTTCCTCTATTTCGAGTTTGCATGGAAATTTCATTCTGATTGATGATCTTGGCAGCAACAAAGAATTTGGCCCGACAAGCAAGAGATGGTAGACGCCTTTCCTGAAATAAAACAAGTACTTCGGCGCACCTGCAATTCTGATATGTGGAAGTCTCTTGAGGGACGTCGGATGGATGCTTGTCCGAGAGGAAGGATGGAGGGTATATACATACGGCTTGGAAACACCCGACTCCCCAGATGCTCTCCTGTGCATTCCTGGGCCGAGCCCAACATCAAAATCTTAACCAAGACATGCGCAAAAAACTATCGCAAGCCGAGACATGACCTGACTTGCATTGCTCCCTACCTCGTAACCAACCAGGACCAACTGAAGTTAGAAATGAGAATCTATCTGTTCAGATCAGCAGAATACCTCGGTTAAACTCTATAGCGTAGCTGCTCCTTTCTGCAGCAACACTCGAAGAAGCCCTATCATCCTTCAGTAAACCACTTGCAGTCTTCGAGTCTCTAGACTGTTCTGTACAGAAGAGAAGTTCGTCAATAGCCTTCATGAACTCTAGAACGCAGGAGATACAATCTATCCCTACCGACACAACACAAAGCAACGCGGAAGTTCTTAAGGGATCAATTAGGCGTGCAATTCAGCGAGCGCATTGCGTACCTCCTCTAGTCCAGGGAGCAGGGACGGAGAATCCGCAGCGGGACACAAACGAGGAAATGAAAGCAAAGCCACATTGTCCCTCTTGTCCTCCCACGCATGGCCGCCATTGAGCCACACACTAGTCCTCGGTACTCGGGCTCCCCAAACTTCCCCAATTACTATAGCCCTGCTCTTCATCGTTGCAGCACCCACCCGAAATGACTCCCGGCCAGCTCGCGCCAGCAGATCCACCATGTTGCTGCTGCCGATCTCTCACTCGGCAGCAACCTATCAAATTCACGGAGTCAATCTGTGGCTTGCAATTGCTACGCCTAGAGAAGCAAAACTCCAGCACAGAGCATGGAAACCGAATTAGGGCTCAGGGCTTTGAGGATGCACAGAGTCGAATGGAAGTGGACGTAGAAATACATATCATGCATCCACTTTTGGTGAGTCTGGTGGATGAGACGGCTCGACAAACGAGGCTCATCTCACTTGTGGTCCAAATTTCGATACTGTGTCGACTGTGGGTGCTGGTCTGAGCTCAATTCGGTTTGAAGGTGGTGGGTTCATTTCAGCGACACCATCAAGGAACTCTTGATCGTCGAAGAAGAGCAGCGACTGTTTGAGGTAGGGCGAGATGTAGCGGCTTTTCCGGGAGTTTTTTTATTAGGGTTGCAGTGTGTCAGCTGAGCTAGTCCTTGATGAGTCTGTTTTGTCCGTTGTTTCGACATTGCTAGAGTGCCGTGTATGGTTTTCGATCTAAGCTGTAGTCCGTAAGTTAATGAGTCGAGTTGTTTCTGATGCAATTGTGGTGATTGAGTTAGGTCGGTGGTTTGCGCGTTCGTCTTCTTTTGGGGCAATTGATGAGTGATAGTGAGATTGAGGTCTAGAGGGAAGGCTTTGGATTTTGCTAGGGTGAGGGGAAGTGGTCAGCAGAGCTGAAAGTCTTCTTTTTTACATGGTGTGGCTATCTTTTTCTGTGTGCTTGTTCAGATTCGTGCACCTTGGCTGAAACTCACAGTGCTCCACTCGAACCAGCGGTTTGTAGTTCACAGTCTTCAGCCGTGTATAGTGAATTGATTAGAATCGTTATCTATATTTGTTCGCTCAAATCGATCAATCTTTTTATCTGTGTAACAGACAGTTGGTCTACATGTCCCTTCAAATTATACCTACAGAATTCAACCATCTTCAATCACATGGCAGTGTAGGATTTTTGTACCTATGCTGTATTTCCAATAGACCTTAACAGTCCATCGAGAATCTAGTTTGCCTTTTCTGGCTGCCTTCACGTGGACTTGTGCCAATTAGTGTTTGTTGGTTAGGTAAATTGAGACCTCTGGCTTTCGCTCTTGATTTGAAAGTGGATGATATTCCATGCAGATTCATGTTGGTGGCATTGGAATAATTCCATCTCCTCAATTGAGTATGATAGGAGTAGTTGACATGGAGGTTCCTGCTACAAGCAGTGGTGATATATCATCAGCAATGGAAGATTTAACAGTAGATTCAAAAGAGGTAGGAGATGGAAGCTCACAAACTGACACTACCCATGAGGCGCTGTTCTATGTACTTCCTTATTTAGGTCTCCGAGAGCTTCTAACGCTTGAGACATTAAGCAGGCGGCTACGGGATTTAATTAGAGGGGATCCATTATCATGGCAACAATTACTCGTCGACGCCCCTTCGAACAAAAATTTCACAAATGTCGAACTCGTGAAGCTGACAAGTCGAGCGCAAGGTCGTCTCCAGTCTCTCAGCTTAGTCAAGTGTTTGAAAATATCTGAAGAAGTTGTGGAGGCAGTCCTAGTAGCAAATCCTTTGGTTCACAAGGTATTCACAGCCTGGGCAACCTCTGTAATTTGTAACCTGGAATATTTTCTACAACGAATTCGTTTTCTAATCTAATGTCTTCACACCTGTGCTGATGTTATTCCAGCTTGGTCTTGCTGGATGCACCGGGGTGAGTGCGGAGGCAATACTAAGAATGGTGAAGTTGCAAACAGATCGTCGTTCTCCCGACTTCCCTGGCTTGGTTCAGCTCCGCATCCAAGGTTTGTATGGTATTACAACTGAGATCTACAACAGTCTTCTAGCAATGATGCAACCTTCAGAGAACCTCTCCAGCGCTTCAACTCCTCAATACTTCAATAGAGGAGAAACGTCTCCACCCTTCGACGAGGACCGCGCAATTGACATCGAGATTTGCCCCAAGTGCGGAGGAGCAAGGCTAGTGTTTGACTGCACGCGACCCACATGCCAGGAGCGCAGAAACAACCCCCTCTATCAGTGCCGCGGATGCTACCTGTGCATTGCACGGTGCGAGGAGTGTGGGATGTGCATTGACACAACTGAAGAGGAGAATGGCGAAACTTTTTGCCTGGAGTCCCTGTGCCAGTCTTGTTGGCTCCAATCCCCCAAGTGCTCAGAATGCAACCGTGCTGGATGCAGCTATCATGTCTCCTTGTCACGCAAATTCGAAGATGGCAGCTTCATTTGCGATATGTGCCTTCTCAATTCAACTGGTCCTGAATCTGATGAGTGATCTCCTCATTCATCTCTGAACCTGGCCTGTGTCATTTCTGTATTGATTCCAGTGCTACTTCGCTCCACGTTTGCTGCAATCACAGCTGGACATTCAGCTCCGTCTTTGTGGAGTCTGAATGCATAGTAACATAAGTTTGTAATATTCACGTACATTTGTAGCAATTCCATCAGCCATTTGATACCTTTCTGCCTGTATGGGATTCGAATGTGCACCGAATTTGTGCATCTGCTAGATTCTAGGGTGGTGTCGGCACCCAATGCAACGACTGTGATAAAGATTGGTTCCTTTTTTTTATAGTTTGTAGTCATTTATTTTATTTTTGTGATTCCTTATTTGTTGGGTTGATTTAAATCTCTTCAACCAATCATTCATGAGCTAGTTTACAACAGTTTTTGCATGTAGAACTGTGATCTGAACACTGGTTTGTTTGTCTCTGGTAGGCAAACAGAACCAGCCTTGATTAAAGTTGGCAAGGGAGGCGTACTGCACAAATTTCCATGCTAATTAATATATATATATATACACACACACGGTTGAACTTTTGCTAATTAGTACAATCTATTCCAGTGGGAGGGATTAATTAGTAGAGGATATTAGTTGTCAGAGTATGGGTAGGATTTGGCATTGTGACATGTGACTTCTCCCGGATTGTACATGTGATGTGTCAGAAATAATCACTTTTGATATAAAGACTTATCCTTGGACTTTCAAAGTCTAGACACCCTTCAATTTGTTTATACTTCTTCACTTTGTTAGCTCTATCTTCTTTCACTTCTCCCTCTCTCTTCTCTTCCAACACATCTCACGTCAAGTTTTTAGCAATGTCACATTTCTAAGAAATTTAACCAACAAAGAGCAACTACAACTATGTGGGTACAATCCCATTCTAAATTTTTTTGGAAAGACTTGGTTAAATAAACAAAGTACCAAGTTAGTATGACCTAAATTTGATTTCAAGGCACTTTCAACAATATTTTGAAGAAAAAAAGTGAATATAAGAATATAGAATATTCTAGGCTAATAGAAAAATAACCCATATAGTTATTTTTTTTTTCCAAATTAGACATTGTTCTTGCAATCTAGGTGCTTCAATGTTGAGCTTATTGAGTTTCATTGTTACATGATTCGATAAAAATAAAAATAAAAATACAAAATTATACTGACTAATTAGGCCTTGATAAGGCCCTTGAATTTTCTAATAATTTACAATCTAAGTTCTATGATCATCACAAATTTAAAAGAATAAATTTGCATGGTGAGACTGACTTTGCTAATAGTACAAGAATTGAACTTAAAGAAGCAATCAACCACCTCCTATTGCACCACAATATATCAATTGCTATTCTATTTTGTAAAAGAAGCACAAATTGGACATGAGAAGATTTTAAATGAAAATTTTGTTGTCCTTATACATACGAAAAAAGAATTGACAACAATATGATCATTGATAATAATAAACTACAAAAAGTATCCATGTCCAAGGAAGAAAAACTTAATTGATTGCAAAGTATAATCCAAATGCTTGATGTGACAAAAAAATGATCTTATCATATTAATTTTTAATATCTATATTAGTTATTAAATATTAATTATTTTCCATACTACCACATCTATTTTTTGACAAAGTATCAATTATTAAAGAATATTGATTTTAGGAGATTTGTTTCTAAAGGTTCAACTATATATTTATATTCTAATTTATCAATATATTATAAATTAAAACTTGAGTCAATTCTCAAGTGCCATACTTAGCTTTTATTATTCAAATTGAGTAGATTGTTTAAGTACCAATTTTTTACAAAATGCAACAAAATTGTACACTTCATTGTATTTTAATATAAAATAGTGTCAATTTGATTGATATATTAACAAGACATAAACTTGTTAACATATTAAGCAACTAAGGTTGTGTAAAGAAGTTGTAAAAATATGTCAAATTGATAGAATATTAATATCTCAAAGCATTAAAATTAAGTATTTTAATATTAATATCTAAAAATAATATTATGTAAAAAAATACAACATAAAATAAAAATGCTTGTCAAAAAAAATGACATAATCAAATACCATAACTGAAAATAGAGGTGAGTTGGAATGTTTTGTTTCAAATCAATGATTGAGTATACAAAATAATATCCATCTTATTCAATCATAATAAATATTACTATTATATCAATATTGTCACCATCCTAAAAGTTGAATTACAATGATTATCTTTGCTCATACAATTCCTCTTGCTCCCATACATTAATGAATGTAATAGGATATTTGTATTGTTAATGCATAGAGATGGATAGTTGGAGTCATTTTTGGGTAATTTTTAGAATTGAAGCTAGGTTGGTGGTCTATATAGGATCTACCATGGAACATTCTAAAAGAACTTAGGACAATTATCTAGGTAGAATCTACCATTAGAAACATTCTAGAAAGTTCTAAGATGGTTGGATAAAGTATAAATAGGACTAGCCAAGGCCATTTGGTTATTCAATCAAGTATGGCTTTGATTCATTTCTCTTAGTTAAGTTTGGTTTGTATTTTTTTTTTTTTTTTTTTTTTTTTTTTTTTTGTTTTTTGTTTTGTTTTGTTTTGTTTTGTTTTGTTTTGTTTTGTTTTGTTTTTTTTTTTTTTTTTGTTTTTTTTTTGTTTATTTTCTTTTGTTATGTTTTGTCTTTTATTGTTCCATTTTGTTTAATTATGTTTGATTTTGTTTTGGTTTGCTCTATCTTACATTGTGATGGGATTTATGTTGATGTAGTTTAAAAGAATTTTAGATCTTAGAGAGAGTTTTGTCTTGTTTTATTGATATTAGAGTGAGTATTAGTTTATTCTTTGGTAGTATATTGATAGCTACTATTTAATTGAATGTTAATTATTATAGTTACATTGAGTACTATTTTGATAGTATGACAAGCTACTTTAAAGAAGTCAGCTGAAAAAAGAGAGGACATTATGGTAGTAGAATCTTGTATGGAAATTGTACCATAGAAGATATAGCGCAACTATCTCAAATAGAGGCTTAGATACAACACTTCTTAGATTAAATAGCTATTTTACAAGGGCTAATAGAAGCCTCTAAGGCAAGGGAATTGACATTTGCGAGACTGAAATTAAACAAGCTTGATTTATATTCTAGAATATATATAAATCAAGGCCAATTCACAATCTTGAGGTTCACCAAGTTAATAAAGAAGCGGAGTAAAGAAACGAGGCTTCCCAATTATAGTACCAAAGACGAATATTGGGGATAGCTATTATTTTTCAAAGAAAAATGGCATGGCCTTTGACAACTATCAAAAAGATCGATTGGTGTGTCTAATATGTCAACTAAGAAGACAACCATGTTGAGTGCTTGTGGATTGCAGCTCTATAAAAAATTACATCTTAATTGGGATTATTGACCGATTTGAGATTAAAATCAAGATGATTAAAAGAAGAAGTATATACCTAATAGATGATTGAAAGAACACATTCAATGAGACATATGAAGAAGAAATTTTGAGGTTGAATGACACATATGCTTTGAGAGAAAAATTTAAGATAATAAAGCTTAGATATGATGTTATCTTTGATATGCCATGGCTAGAGGTGAAAAATAAACAAGTTGATTGGCTAGTAAGGATGTTCTTCTTCAATGATGATAGATGCAAGGTGACTCTTTGTGCCTCTATATTGAATAAGGTAGAAAAATGACCTACAGTTAAATACTTACTTGTAGGGATAACTTTAATGAAGAAGCAAATATAGCATAAGCAATCGATATGTAAGGTGGTTCCAAATCTTTTCTTAGTGGTAGGAAAGACAATTAAAAGGAGAAAAACATATAAAGCAACTTATACGTGAATATTAAGATATCTTTTGAACTAACTTAACTAATCGCGTGCCACTTGATCAAGGTACCCTCTTTCAAATAGAACTATTACTCAGAGCTAAATTGATAAGTCGGCCAATTTATTATCTAATACCAAATGAACTTAAAGAGTTGTAAAAGACATCAAACGAACTCTTGGAAAAGGACCTCATTCAAAAAAATACATTGCCATAGGAAGCACCTATACTCTTTGTACCTAAAAATGATGGTGGACTTTGGCTTTGTATTGACTATTGATGCCTCAATAAATAGAATGTCAATAATGTATATTTACTTATATGCATAGATGATCTTCTTGATCAATTTTGAAGTGCAATCATCTTTAGAAAATTGGACCTTTAGAATAGCTATTAGAAAACACCTATTTCAAAAGATGATATAAAAAAGATGGCATTTTGTACATGCTATAGACATTTTAAATGGCTTGTTTTACCTTTTGGCCTCACCAATACTCTGGCCTCTTTTATGAGTCATATAAACAAATTATTTTGAGACATTTTAGATAAATATATAATTATCTTTATTGATAATATTTTAGTCTATAATAAAATCCTTGCATAGCATGAATAATATTTATGGGAAGTGTTGTTCTAACTACAAGATAGTTGCTTCTACTGCAAGACATTAAAGTGTGAACTTTGGAAGTTGGAAGTCATTTTTTTGGAGCAAATAGTATCCTCTAAAGGCATGCATATGGAACAAGATAAAGCAAAAGTGCTAGAAAATTGGCCAACCTCCTAAGATCTTTTGAAGTCTGCTCATTTTTAAACCTTCTTAGATATTATTGCCATTTCTTTTGGCAATTTGCACACATTGATACCTCACTAACAAGGTAATTAGAGAAGAGTGGCTCATTTGAATGGAAATTAGAGCAGCAAAGTGCCTTCAATAAGTTGAAAGAGACACTCATAATTGCTTTAATATAGCAATCGTATAAATCCAACCTTCCTTGTATACTTGACATTGATACTTTTGACTTTGCTATTGGGGTGGTTTTTTAATAAAATTTTGGTAGGAGCCTTCAATTATTGGTGTATGAATCACTCAAGCTTACAAAGATAGATTGTTGTTGTGATATAATATTGCTACTGAATAAAAAAAAGAAAGAAAATATTATATTATGGAAGATCTTATTTTTAAATATTAGAAAAAATTATCTTAAAAATATAGATAATAGTCATAAAGATAGTAAAACTAAAGAGTGTTAATACTGCCTTTTTGAAAAATAGGCTTCTATTTACTATGTAGGACCATAAATAAGGCAAAAGAAAGTATATTAAAAAATTAAATAATATAGGCATATGTAGGAAAGAATTGAGAGTAGATTTTAGTAAAATTTACCTCAAGAAGCCAAGAATTGATACTTAGAAAGGATCTCTTGTTAACGCGGGTTAAAATTAGATTCCAAGGCACAAAACCATGCTTTTATGGTGACTTTA